CCTTATTTTGAAATGGAATGACTTTCTTTTTGGTTTAAGTATTGGTTGTTCTTTCTCCCGAACTGAACGTATTTGGCGAACTGACCATACGTCCGGTCTGTTTCCTGCCCGGGTTACCACACTCGCGCGGCCTGTTTTGGTACTCTGAGATGCCGATGTCCCTATTAGTTCGTTGTCTCCGTTTTGCCTTTGGCTTTTTCTTGGCTTGCCTATGCCGAGGTTCCTTCGTTAGCTCGGCATCCTAGCCCTTGGGCTTTGGTGGCGATTTTATCCACTTCGCTTGGTGGTCTATAGGTAGTATCGCCTTAAGTTGACGATGTTCCATGCTCGGGGTACTTGCTTACCCTCTAAGGTTTCGAGCTCGTATGCCCCCCCGAGTGCTTTCTTTACTTTGTAGGGTCCTTCCCAATTTGGTCTGAGTTTGCCCACGCCGGGTTCAGGTACCATGATCTTATGGAGAACCAGGTCGCCGACGCGGAAGCTCCGCTTCTTTACTCTAGCGTTGTAGTACCGAGCTACTTTTTGTTGGTAGGTCGTTGTTCGGATGCGCGCAAGGTCTCTTACTTCATCTAGTAGGTCGAGGTTGGTGCGCAACTCATCTCCGTTTGTCTGATCGTCATATGCTTCTACTTGTAGTGTAGGTATTTCGATTTCCGCCGGGATTACCGTCTCGGTGCCATAGGTGAGGTTAAAGGGGGTCTCTCCTATGGTGGTTTTTTTCGTGGTTCGGTGAGCCCATAGAACACTTGGTAGCTCGTCCGCCCACAACCCTTTAGCTCGGTCTAGTCGTGCTTTCAATCTGCGGAGGATGGCTCTGTTCATTACTTCTGTCTGACCGTTAGCCTGCGGATGTGCGACCGATGTGAAGTTCTGACGAATCCCCATATCTTGGAACCATTCTTGAAACTTGATATCCCCAAACTGTTTGCCGTTGTCGGAGATCAATACCCGAGGTAGCCCGAAGCAGCATACTATGTTCTTCCAAAAGAAGTTATGTATGTTTCGGGCTGCGACTGTTGCCAGAGGTTCAGCTTCTATCCACTTTGTGAAGTAATCTACTGCCACCACTAGGAACTTTCTCCCACCTGTTGCTAGCGGAAATGGCCCCAGGAGGTCGATGCCCCAATGTGCAAAGGGCCATGGACTGGTGAGGTACTTGAGGTCGGCAGCAGGCTGATGGTGGATACTGGCATGCTTCTGACACTTGTCACATTTTCTGACGAGCTCGACGGCTTCTGCCTTCATCGTTGGCCAGTAGTATCCTTGTCGAAGTGCTTTTTGGGCGAGGGCTCTGCCCCCCAGGTGTCCG